ACAATCGGTTCCCCTCGAATCCCACCCAAACTCGTCGAATCTTGGATCAAAGGATTCCGGCCAAAACCCTAGGTGACCCAATCCCGCCCAAATTAACACCACAGAACCGTCTTGTTTTCCTCTCTCAAACCCCCCAAACCCCGTCCCTCGAATCTAAACGGAACTTCTCGAATATTAATTCGAAGTCCGGCAAAAACCCTAAGTTCTCCAAACCCCACCAAATTGACACCACGCAACCTCCTCACTTCCCTCATGTCGAATCCGTCATTAGAAGCACTCGAATCTCGCCGGAGTTGGTGAATTTTGAAGTGACGAGCCGGCAGAACCCTAGAGTCACAATCAGTGAGTTTTTTTTTTTTTTTTACAATTTGTTTCTATGTTCTTCTTCTTTCATGTGGTTTTGAGTTAATTCTATGATTGTTTCTACTTCACGAGTTTGTTTTAATTTCGTCATTAGCTTAGGTATAGCTTTTGTTCAAAAATGCTCTAGGTTTAGTTTCGATTGTTCATTCCAAGTCGTTAAGTTCTTTCTTCCTTGTTCGATCGTTTCCTGTTTGAATGGATGCTGTAGTTTTTAATTTCTAGGTTAAGTTTCGTTTGTTTTTTTTGTCACTTCTGCTCTGATTTTGCTTTCATTTTGTGCTCGATTCTGCTTGTTTGTTCATTCCGTTTAGATTCTTATTTGTTTTGATTTTTGGTTTTAGTTTGATTATTAGTTGAATGCTTTGTTAATCTGTTGATAAGCCTTTAATCGATCCTGTTTTGGCCTCATTTGAATTTTAATGTTTGTTTCAGTACTTGAATTAACTAGTTACTGTTGTTAATTAGTTAGTGATAGTTAGTTTAGTTCAGTTTAATTAGTGATTGTGTCAATGATTCTTTAGTTCACTGTTTGGGTTTCAATTCATTATTAGGTTTAGCCTAATTGGTTACTGTTAATTAGCTTAATCGATTTGGTTATAGATGAAAATACTTAGTCCTTTGTGTGTTTAACCATGGTCATCTGACCTAGATTAAGAAGAGTAAGGTTTGTTGAAATGAGTTAGTAATTCTAGTTGACTAAAAGGGGTAATTTGGACACTTCAAAAAGAAAGAATCCTGTAGTAACAGATTAGGAACACCCTAGACTCTTCTAGAATAGGGCCTTAGTTTAAATTTCAGCAACTTTAGTGTAGTAACTTGAGCAACAAGTCAGTAAATTAGGGATTATTGAATAAAATCTGAAATAAAAGAGGGGGGAAAGGTGTGAATGAGATCTAGAAGCTTTCCCCTGAAGTTTGCCTATAAAAGGCAGCTTACATGCCTTCATTAACAAGTTTTCAGGATCTGAAAAATTCCCAAAATTTCCAGCCTTCAAAAATTTCTCCAAAACCTCTCCTGCAAGCTATAGCATCAAAATTTGAATTTCAAATCAAAAAGTTCACTCTTATAGTTCAAAATTTCCCTTAGATCTGACTTCCTTCAAAAAACCAAAAACAAAAGGAAAAATACAACAGAAAACTCAAAAATACTGTTCCATTGAGACTTTAGATTAATTTCTAGTTTTAGTGTTTGATTTGCATCATTTAGTTTAAATTCTGATTGCTGAAAGTTGCTGGAGGTCCCTGTGTTAAATTCAAGCTGAGTTTGACTGTTTCGAGTCACTTGTGGGTCTGTTTTACTGGTTTTTTTGTATTTGCTGGGTTTCCAAGTTGACATTGTTGTTGCTCTCCTGTTTTTAACGCTGCAAATTCCTCACTACTGCTGCTGACTTCTGGTTCTTATTGTATTTCAACCTCCAGGTACATATCCTGACTTTGAGGCCATGTGAACATCCAATTGAAAGATGAAATAAAATCTGTTACGTGATTCTGTTATAAACTTGTTGTAGATATTTTATATTTCATATAGTGTTCCTTGATTTGTTAATATCCTTATTATAAATAAATTTGAAACTGTCGGGGACTATTAATGGACTGTATCGGACTGTTTTAACTGAACTATATAGATTGCTTCTGTTTTAGTTTTATATTAATACAACAATGCAATGCTGGTATGATTCGAGTGCCTTTAGAATTTGCTGCCTTGAGTAATAAACAGGATCTGCTATTGTTTAAGTATGTGTTGCAGCTTATGTTTCGATAGATAGTGAACTAGGAACTGGATATGATTAATAAACAGGATCTGCAATTGTTAAGCATGTGCTGAAGCTTGTGTTTAGATAGATCATGAACTAGGAACTGGATATAGGTTATTTGCGTGCCACTGTTTGAAAGTCGAAATAAGATCAGATTAAGGGTAGAAATAATTGAGACTATCATTTTCCCCTTTTGTTTGACAATGCAACTCAATTACTGTTAAACTTCAAATGTGATTGTATCATAAGCTTCAAATGTGACTTTATCATATCATTTGGAATAATGCAAGAATAAAATTCTGTTGGACTTGATATCAGAAATTATTAATATTAAAATTAGATGTCCTCATCGGATTGAAAGGGTAATTCTGCTGATTGTTCTTTCCCAAATCCTGGGCTGACTGTTAAGGCCCAGTAAAACGCAAGTTTAAAATCCCACACTAGGATTATGGGTTTTGGGTCTCCTAGTTAAGTAGCATGCTTGAGTTAAGAGGTTCACCTCTTGCTCGGATTTCTGGTTCGCGGACTAGGAGACCCAAAACCCATAATCCTAGTGTGGGATTTTAAACCCATAATCCTCGGACTAGGAGACCCAAAACCCATAATCCTCGGGTTAACAGAATTCCTTACTCGGATTTCTGGTTCGCGGACTGTTAACAGAGTCATATTTTTTTCGATTCGGGATTCAACCGGTGACTTGAGACACCATTATTCTCCCAAATGGCGACTTTGAATCTTTAATAAACAAATCCCGTTTCGATTGTCCTTTAATTGGAAAAACTCCTTTATGCCCTTGCGGGGGTGTAGTGAAAAAGGAGGTGTGACAATTAACTACTCATTCCCCAAATCATCTCTCAAAATTTTTGGAAATGCTATCATTATTACGGGTAAAATCGTAAATACAAACATCATTTATTTTTCTTAAAGGGTGTATGACCCAAAAAAATTAGATCTTGATCTTTATACAATTAGATTTATAGAAAAATAAGACTAATCATGGTCAATATCAATATTCAATAGCGGATCTAGCACTTTTAGAGCTAATATTTAATATGTAATACTAGAAAAGACTATCTTGAAGCAATGATTGAGCAGTAAAGACTTACAAATGCAAAAGGTAGCAATAAATAATAATAAATGACTTTTAAATAGTAGATGAGCTCAAGATCACCCGACAAGGGTGAAATCTTCATATATATGCTTTCTGACAATGATGGATGATGATAAGCAAATGTATATTCGGATGCTTCTTGGATCGAGAGAGATGGGTGAAAGAAAGGAAGTGTAAAGTAAAGCTTTGTTTCTATTCAATAAAGTGAGATTTTGCACATCGAGTGTTGTTAATTATCCATCAGAATATTCTCTAGGGAATCTAAATCCTAAAATTGGTCGCCACCTCGTACTGAAGGTGGATGCTCATCTTCGTCCTCGTCGTCTGTTGAATCATTTCGACCTTCGACAACGACTTATTTTCCACATCCGACCTCAACCTTTTGGAATTAGGTTGACACTTTACAGTCTTCAGAGACACTACTGTCGTTGGCCGGGTCAAACACATAAATGAAGTTTTCGCCCATACAAAGGGAGTGCAAGTTCAAAAGTAAATAATTAAAAATGAACAGAGGGAGTACAGTCAGACCACTCTAGAATATCATCCATATATAACAGTCATTCACTATAAAAGCCAAGTTTTCCTCAAAATCGATTTTTAAAGTTATATTTTACCTTTCTATAAATGCTTTTTACCTATAACAGCAACAACAATATTTACAGCAGAACGCTCTTTGTAAAATTACACCTCTATAACAACTATATAAAATCATTAAGATTACTAATAATAGTTTTAAAAATATGTACACAATCTTTTTCACTAAACAAAGTTTCTATCTTGCATAAGATATAAGATTTGAACATCTGCACTTGATATCTTTTCCATTGGATAAATTTAAAAAAAATATTTAGATAAAAATTTAATTGTTAAGCTCTTAGATTGTCTTCAAGGGAAAGATACTAGATACATTTTTGCTGAATATTTTGACACGAATCTTCGTCAATTCAAGTGTTATATCGCTAGTAAGAGAATAAATCTACAAAACAAGCTACAATTACAAAGTTCTTCCATCAATCTTAAAAGAATTTATTTTTCTAGTTAGCTTTAAAATGTTTGCCTTAGAGTTTAAATCTTTATACGTTTACTTATGAATTTATTAATAATGTGTTAGCTTTCTTCAATATTTAACTAGTGAAATATTCATATATTTCGAGATTTTAAATTTGAATATTTTTTCTTTTCTTTTATATGTAACATTAAAAAAGAAAAAATAATTGATTTATGTATAATTTATTATTATATATAACAATTAAAAATATTTAAACGTTAAATGCTATTACAGCCATCCACAATAAAAGTTAAAAAATATCAGAACAAACGAGGGTGTTATAGAGAGGGTTGACTGTATTAATTTTCAAACAAGACTGCAATTCGAATTTGAACTAAGATAGGTTTAAAAACCTTCCTGTTCTTAGTTTTCAATTCGATGTCAATCTCTTTATTTTCTAAATAAGATTTACATATTTAGAATTACATTAAATAAAATGTCTCCATTCTAAAAGGAATTATGGACTTAAGACTACGAGAATTATACTATCTATTTTTTTTTTTCTTAATTGGACATTTATTTCTTAATTTATTTATTTTTATAATAGATTCACCAACTTCAAAACAGCACCATAAATCATAATTTTAAAGTAATAAAATATATTACTTTTTGAAAACATGCGCACTTAAAAAATTGACTTTATATGAAATAAAATATATGAAATTCTAAAACCTAAAATGTAGGCAAAAGAATATTGTTTACAACTTTTTTTTGCATTTTGTACGCGTAAGTTTTGTTTGTTCTCTTGTAAAATTTATGAGAGTCGATACATAAGAATTTTTCATGTTAAATTTCAAAAACACATAAAACCCTACATATTAACTCATCAAAGGAATCCCACCGGTGGTTGTGAGAATGCCCAATCAAAAATGGTGCACTTGTAGATAATACCTAGTATTAATTACTGGTAAGTGGAAGATTTTTATTGTTTTTAAAACTTTTGGTCAAGTGTTGACATCCCATTGTACATAGAACTGGGTCAAATTGTGATCATCATCATCATCCTTAATTACACGATTAAACACTAATATTCCTTAAACAGATCAAAACAAAACTATTGACTTGGTCTGCTTCTGTGTCTGCTAATCTAAGAACCTCAAACAGGTAAATTCTGACTTCTCAGTTAGTAAATCTTGGATTTTTATGCTTGGCCCACAAACTTCCATGTAATTTTTTTGGATTCTCCTTCAATTAATGAGATATGAGGGACTTCATTCTTGATTTTGAGAACTTAGCAGAGGGCATGTTTTGGTATTTGTTTGATGTGTTCGATTTCCTTGCTGATGAATTTCTGGTTTTTGCCTTTTTGGTTGAAGACTTTCTTGCCCACTTTATCTGCCAAATCTGGATTGCTTAGATTCTGCTCTCCAAAATTTTGAGCTTTTTACTAGTCCACTGTTAATTTTGGAAGATTTTTTAGCTGAGTCAAAATTATTAGATTTTGTCTATTGTCTAGATGGATCAAATCCAAAAGGCAGTATACTATTGCTCTGTATCAAAAGGGGGTCGAATTCTGTATTCTTATATTGGTGTAGGAGATGATGAGATTGAGAACTTGGCTGTACTGTGCTTGGAAAAAACACCTCCTTATCATAAGTGGTATTTTCAGACCATGGCTAAAAAGACTTTTGGGTTTTTGATGGAAGAGGGGTATGTTTATTTTGCTATTACGGACGAGGGTCTTGGTAACGTTGAAGTTCTTCGGTTTCTAGAGCAATTGAAGGACGAATTCAGAAAGGTGGCTAGAAAGGGTTCTGGCCGGAGTATGTCAAATCTGAACTCACTTTGTGTACAAGAACAACTAGTTCCTGTTATTCGACACTTGATTACTTCGTTGGAGCATGTATCTGGATGGCCAGCAGATACTCCTCCACAGCACGGTGGCAACAATGCCAATGGACAAATTGAGGGGAGTGGATCTTCGACAAGAGCCCCATTGTTGGCCAAGGCTAGTAGACAAGACAAAAAGAAAATGAAGGATCATGCAATTGCAATGAGAGGTATTGAGTTGGAGGAGCACCGGAAATCTACTGAACGAGCTAAGGTTGATTCAGGAGTTACTGATTCGAATAATCAAGGTGCAGGAGTTCTTCCACCTCCTATGGTACAAAAGGAGTTTGGCTTGGTGAGGACTAGATCAGGCTCTCAAAACTTCCATAGGAGGTGGTGCCGCCAAGTACGGATTGTTCTTGCCATTGATGCTGCAGTATGTGTTGTGCTATTTGTGATTTGGTTAGTTATATGTCAAGGTACAAAGTGCCTTCGCTGAGGTCATTGTTCAAAGTTTTGAAACTACTCCAGCCACATTATTGAAGAAGATGGATAATGAATTTCACAGCTTCTATGCGTATGTCAGAGTATAAATTTCTTTGCACTTTATATAGGAACTTATTGTACAGTGATCTCTTGTTTATGGATATAGGATATAGTGCGCTACAGCATATTCGGAGGTTCTTGTTTGGCTAATATAGTCCGTGCTTGCAGCTCCAACTTTCTTGCCTGAACCGAAAGTAGTGTGCTTCCTGTGATTATTTTGAAGCTTTTGTTTTTTCAGTTAGTGTTTTTGTATATTTAGAACTCCCTGCTTACGTGCACAAAACATGTTTTTACCATCTCCCTTGCCTTTCTGTCATACATACTCTGAAGTAAAATACAACATTTGTTTGCTCTGCCGTGCAAGCTGCATCTACTTTTGTACAATGTCTCTTCTGGGCTTTCTGAAAATTTTCCTTTATTTTCTATTTCTCTTGGAGGGTAAATTTTCTTTTTTAGTGGTTGAGGGAGGCTCTTTGCCCTGCCGTGTGAAGGACTATAAGGAACTTGCCAAAATTGAGTATGCAAATAGTCGGCAGGCCTTCCTTAATGATGGGGTTTGGAGAAAATAACCGATTCCAATAGTAGTGTAATATCAATATATCAATGAAGACCATATAGAAAGAACAAATCAAATGGAAGTATTATCGGTTTAAAGGAGAAGAAACAACATGAAGAGCGTAATTACAGTACCCAATTACTTTGACCATTTTTTTAGTACTTATCAAGCTGCATTTCTTTGGTTGTTGTTAGATATTCAATGGAGCAAAACAAAAATGTTTCTTTCATAAAAACCTTGAATGTGTTACTGACGGCAGAGGAATAAGAAGCAAATTGTATCAGTATAATTTGCTGTAGGAAATCTATAAGCACACAGGATTCGTTTGGTTGAGCCTAGTGAACTTTTTCCCGGTAGAAAGAACGTAATTTTACCTATTGGTATCTAGGAAAATGAAGATTGAATGTTAGTAGTTAGGCGAACAATTTTGAACTTGCTTGAGCAACTCTTTTGATATCTAAAATATGAGAATCAATCTGCTGATATTTAGATGGGGAAGTGCATTCGTTTTCAACATTCTGTTATTTGCTTTAGTCAGGCCAGAAACGGAAGTTTATTATGGTAGTATTTTGTAAATACCTTTTAATCTGACTGCTTGTATTGCATTGTACACAGCTCACACACTCCCCTCACCCTCTCTTTCTGAACTATTGTTAAAGGTATAAGCAATAGTTTGTTTCTGAATAGACTGATCTTTATCAATAGTTACCAACAGCGTGAAGCCTTGGACCTATTTTGGGTAATCTGTTACTCCTCTATCTGCTTAACTTGTGATTCTTCATTTATATAATGTTGTCCAAGAAGGGCCTTGGTGGATAGTCATCTTCCTAGATATCGTTGTCTTTACATGTATTCAAGTCCCGAATTAACTCCCCCCCCCCCCCCCCGAAGCTCTATGATCTAAAGGGATGAGAACTTATTTGAGTTCCTCGAGATCCTATACATTTGGATACATATACAAGGGTTGGTTTGGACTAGATTCTCTCTCTCCCCCTTGAAGCTCTATTCGGGCTATCGCCCATAGTTCTTGTAACAGAGGCAAATTTCAATGCTGGATTTGTCTTCCCATACTTTTAACTGTGAATAAAACATGAGTCACACAGAATGTTATCTTGATTAATATGGCCCTTGGTTAGAGAAAGTTTTGGCGCCTGGTGACTGGGCTTGATATTTGATTTGTCTAGATGGCCACTGCTGTTTCTGCTGCTTCTATTATTTTGAATGATCGGCATGTACTGAGGGGATCTTCTATCGAAGAAATGTAGCATTAATCTTGAAGGAGGATGAAAATCTTAGCATTAATTCTCAGTAGAAATTGATGCCAAAATGAGCACACGCTTCTTCTGTTGACTTGTGTGTTGCCTGGTTCTTTCTTTGAAACTGTAGGTTTTCTTCTGTAAGAAAACATCCCTAGGCTGTTCACCTTTTTTAAGATCCAAGGTTGAACTTGTTGTGCACTCACATAGTGTTAATCTTGCTCCGGTGAATAAAAGTACTCCCTCCGTTCCAATTTATGTGAACCTGTTTGACTGGGCACGGAGTTTAAGAAAAAAAATGAAGACTTTTGGAATTTGTGGTCCTAAACAAGTCAAAATGGGGCCCAGAGTATTTGTGTGGTTATAAAAGCTTCTCATTAAGGGTAAAGTTGTAAGTTTAACCTGAATTGTTACCAAATTTAGAAAGGGATCATTCTTTTTGGAACAGACCAAAAAGGAAATAGGTTCACATAAACTGGAACAGAGGGAGTAGTATTCATGGTTAGACTGATGTCATTGCCCATTTGTCACTGCAATACCTTGTATGTTCTCTGCAATTATTTTGGGTTAGTAATGTTAAACATAGAGAGATGGAGCATTGCATCTTTGGAAAATCTGCAGTACATGAAATCCAATACCTATCTCTTACAGAAAGTTTGTACTACTGTTATGTTATTTAATTCAGAAAAAGGGGGAAATCTGATTCTCAAGAAGGATTTCGAAACCACTGACCATATTCTACATCCAGAACCTGCCTTGAGTTGATTCTCATTCAAGGGTTTCCAGTTGTGCCTCAAGGAAAAATTTGTTACGAGATAATCCAATGAAAGCTAGAGGGTATCAATTATGTGCTTGTAATCTGTCTACTTTAGGATTGGAAATGGTTAATAGCCAGAGTATCATATCCATTTCCGTTGATGTCCTAGGATGGGGAACTGCTCCAAATTTAACTGGACTAAGGATTCAATATATTATCCATTAAATATTCAGCAATTATCAGAATGCAGTTGATTGTTCACCTTGCGATACCATTTCTCATTGTAATTCGCAATATTCTTAATATAAACCAATTAATTGACAGAACAATCATTCAATGATGCTTCAAAAAATAGAAGCATTCGTCATATACAGGAATTGTCTCAAAGGAACCATTTGCATGACAAATCAATGATCTCCAGACCTTGTCCCTTGAGAATTTTTGCAAACTTATTGCAGATGATTTCAAAGTCAAAATAAATAATTCTTTTTTCTTTCATCTCTCTAGTTGGCATGGGGGATACAGTACTAACACACATTTATGTTACAGTCAAGCTACAACAGCTCTGTAAATATGAATAAAGAATAGTTACAACAGCTGTCCAATTCCAAGAATTGGCTTGTCCATCCTGATGCGTATTGCGAACTTGGCAGAATACCCAATAAGGGGAACAGATCATCAGCAACTAGGCAAATATTTAGTTGTCAGTGTAACTTGAATTGTGAACCTGAGAGAGCAGAAAGGTAGCTTAAGTACATATAAAATAACAGCCGGAGAGAACTTGTTAGCTTCCTCTGATTTTGGCGGTAGTCATAGTATGGAAGAGAGCAAAAACAGCTTAATACCAAAGTGCTCTATGCAGATGAGAGCTAAAAGCAGTTTATCTGTTTGGTTTTGGTGTGGAATTTGTGAGAATTATAATTGTTACACAGCAATATCAGTGCAACTAACTGTAAGTTTAGATATCTGAAAATCATTTTTCTTATAAAGGGTATCATGGAGACCCACAGTAAAAAGCAATCCAGAGTTCAAATACATAGATATCTGAAGTTGCTTAAAGGAGCATGCCAACCAACATGTTTTCATTCCTTTTGTTCTTTTTGGGGGGCTATTTTGTGGCTAATGAAATGGGCAGCTCCCTATTTAAAGGATTACAAATTTAACACTTAAAGCTCTAGTTAATACTAACACTTTTAGTACTTATATGTCAGAAAGGAGACTGAATGTACATGTATCAAGGAGAAGTATCCACATTAACTATTATCCGACTTAACTAAGTCTCAAAGACCTAACCTCTTCAAAAGCTGATTAGTGTTTGCTTCAACCATACCCATCAGTTTTTGCATCTACAACTTTATTCCTGAGCACCTCCTCAGGCAAAACAACCCTGAAAACAGCATAATGGTGATTCAAGCTCCTCTCCCCTTGCAATCTGTGAACACTTCCTAGTGCACCAGCATTGGAATTTGGGAAGGAAAAAAATATCCGTCTCACTCTTTGATGGACAAGAGCCATTGCGCACCTAATACAGCAAGACAACAGGATAGTGAAGTTGAGATCAGTTAAATATCTACAAATATGAACTTGTATGCTAACTTCCAGAATGTCATCTGAGATTAGGTTTTGATCAAATTTTCATATGAAACTCCCCATGAATGCTCAAGGAAGAAGCCTTATCCTGAAAAATATTGATTGGACCTACTTCCTCTATAGTATAAAGATATTATTTTTCTTGTTTCAGGGTAAAACTCTACTCTCTGCTTTTGGTGTGTTTGTCCTTCATTCTCTGTCTGGCACATCTATAATCTTTTGGAATGACTGGCATACTCTCTCAATTAATAATTTAACCAAAGCTACCACCAACCAACAGTTCACCGCAGAATTTAACAAGCATAGACCTTTGAAGGGTGGAACTGCCCAATTGAAGCTAAGCAAGACAAAAAAAACAAGTAAAACAGCAGTTAAATATATGAACTTACATTGCACATGGCTCCCAAGCCAGGTAAATGTCACATCCAGTGCATAGATAAGGTCTGACTGATTCAGAACTATGGTCATTACTTTGGAAGTCAGAGTCCGTGATCTGAAAAGGCAATTATGATATATTGTTCTTCAAAAAGTTGACATGTGTGATTCAAGAGAGAAATTCTTTTTTATATGTTTTGGAAATGAAAAACAGGAAATTATTGATGACAAAGGATGAATAGAAATCATTTTTCTAGCATAACAGCTAAAGAGACAATATGGTAAAAGCTTTTTTTCTTTTTGAAAAATCAAGTTCATTTCATTGCTAACGCGTCATGATAGTGTCAAAAGTAAATATAACGTGAGCGATATCATCACTCTTGGAAAAAATATTTGATATCATCACTCTTGAAATTATTTGAGTTGTCTAAAATTCTCAAGAAACAACAGTAGACAAAAATGTTAGCAGGGCCCTAGGCGCCGCAAGAGCAGTATTTCTTCCTGTAGAAGGAAGGGAGAATTTAGCAGACAAAGCTGCTGGGAATCAAGAAGTCAACATATTATTGAAGTGATATAACAACGACATAAAGGATAAAAGGAATGTAGCTTAAATCTGTTGGACTTACCTTCTGTCTTTTCGAAGGAGACAGTGTGCACTCCTCCTTGATAGAGTCCTCCCCATTAAGTTTGTAATCAGGAAAAAGTTGTCTATCCCTGGCAGAAGAATGCTCGATAGCTACAATAGCGGCATGACGCAAAGGATGCCAGCAACCAGAGCTTGGACTTAACGATTGCACAGCCCATCGCCAAGGATGTAGACAACCAACATTACAAATTACATGTTCAAATTCACCAATTGAACTGTCCAAAAGTGATGTTTGCTGGTTTTCCAAGTTAGAGGAATTGAGGTTTTCGGGATAGTCAGAGCAGCTACCTTCCTTGCTGACCTTATTTGCAGGACTTGCTGAGGATATTACCCAGTCAGAAGCACTTGCAATCACCTGCTTAGTTGAAGGATCTACAATAACAGCAGCATTGACCACCTGCAGAGAAAGTTCAAGCAAAAGTAAAATACTGCACGTCTGAAACATATTTACAAGAGCATACTACAGATATACTTCCTTTCTAAATGACTGGAAACAATATAAACATAGCCTTCACAGTTATTAAGGACCGAATAATAGAAAAATGGCAAAAACATACACTGCCACAATCAGACATCAGCTATACAATCAGAAACCATCAGCCTATGGCTGGGTGAAAAGTAAAAGATTACAGAGGTAGAAGGGTTAACCACATAGTAATAACTATCACCTGCAAACTCATACAATACATCGAAACTTGGAAGGATAACTGCATACTTTTTTTTTAACCGAGAAATTCCCGAAGGCCAATGGTGCGTGGGCCGAAACTTGCTAGATGGACCGGCCCCTCTACCCTTCTCTACTTAAATACCAGGCTTCTTTTTGTGGCAGGGTTCAAATCTGTGACATGTGCCTAATCCACACATCACGCGTTGTGCTCTTACCACAAGACCAAATCTCTGGGGGCGAAGGATAGCTGCATACTTATGTCAAGATAACCTAAAACTTTCACATTTGTCCCAAAGTATGTGACTAGATTTTCTTTTAGCTCTTGTGTTACAAGCACTTCATTTGCATTCTCTGAATTACAAGCACTTCATTTGCAATATTGATTCATGGACCAACTTTAGACAACTGTCTTAATTTACAAATCAGGTGTATCCAGGAGTAACTTGGACCCAACCTTATGCATTTCCTCTCCTTGAAGCACCTGCCTTCTCTCGGACAAGTGCACGTCTGCACGATCTACTTTACTTCGGCACTCATCATACCTTCCCACCTCCTAAGAAAGCCATATGTTTACCATATCCTCTAGCTAATTTACCCATATCCAACTGGCCAACCCGTCATTCTTCCGTCTCTTGGGTCTTACGCCTCTTGAACAGTGGCACTACCCACATACCCTGCCAGTTCGAAACCATCCTCTCGAGGCAGTCTCACAAACATAAGTTTGACAGGATGGTATAACTTCTCCTCAGCAGGGAAACCCCCTCGAGCAAAAGAGGGACATGACAGTAGGCGCACGAGAGCAAGGATTCACGTAGCATGAAACAATTCTTCCCAAACATTCAAAACCCAAAAGTATTAAATGTGAGATGAAGTAGGGTAATGCCTTCATCTAGACTCTAGACAAGGCCAAACTCCCTCCTACAGCAAGTTCAGTAAGTCCATTTCTTTTATTTAACGAGGAGCACAATAATATGAAAGCAACTCAAGAGGGGAACAACTTCTAGTCCAGTTGATCCGGTGGACTAAAATATATCCTATTGAAGCCTAATATCACAAATATAAACATGATTGAGTAATAAATTTACCTTCATGAAAATATCCGTACGAAGTATACAAAACTATGTAAAATTTGCAGAAGAGAAGGGAGAACAGCAAGACGGAAAATAAAAAGACAAAGAGAGGATAACTAGTGGTGCCAAGAGGAAACTTATTTATCTCTCTTCCTTTCCTCTTTCTATAGCTAAATCAAACAAGGGTAAAGAAAACTTTATAATCCTCTCTCCCTTTATCTTCTCTTTCCTAGTTCCGAATTGTGTTCTAGTTCCTAAACATCCGGAGCCTTTCGGGATACTCAAGACTTTGTTCTTCTCTTCACTTTCCTAGTTGCCAAGCAAAGCATTCATCATTCTCATTTTCAGATATAAACATTGTCACTGCTTCAATTCATTTATGCTTGAAATATTCTTCTAAATGAAGTAGCTGGTAGAACAGTAGAATCAAGAATGCATAAGGAAATTATAAATATAAACCTCATGGTCCGTTTGCCTTGAACTATTGAAACTATTTCTGGTTGTCTAAAAAAGTGATTATTAGAAATTTGATTAAGATAATCACTTTTTATTGGTAAAATTAAGATGATTGCTTTTTTTAATAAGGAAGATAATCACTTTAATTATGTAATAGCTGCTAAATAGCTCTAAAATATGATTTCTTTTAACCAATTGGAAAACACTAAATGTTATTAAAGGCACTGATCCAATCCAAACAAAAGGACCCTGAATCTATTTGTCTTTTTCTTTTTTCCTTTTGGTTCTTGGGTAGATGGGGAATAGACACTGACATATGCGTAGGAAAAAATGTTGGAACAAGTAGAATAAGACAGACTTCCCAGACAATTGGAGAAAATGGTAAATAGTTACCTGACCAACACAAGATGTTGACAAATCAATGGCATGTCTCATGAAACTGAGAACTGATTGTGACTCCTCTTCAGTAAATCCAGTTATGCCACTGATGTTGCTGTAATTGTGGGAAAAAGAAAAAAGGTCAGGTCAGTTGCAAATGAAGCTATCCCTACTGCCCTAGGAGATGCACACATAGGTAGAGTTCTCCCGTCTTTTTCTTTCCACACTTACTAGGTTGGCGGATGATAGGAAGTAGGCCAGAGCTTGCACTGTTCATCCCATTCTTCTTTTGATGTTGCAGCATATTTGCATACCTGCAAAAAGCTGATTTAAATGCAGAAATGTAGAGTTTTTGCAGCTAAAGGAACATAATACATTTAAGATAAAGGATAACTAGCAATAAGTAAATTGGAACAACGAAAACACCATCATAAAAGTAGTGTTTACACATGATATAAGCAAAGAATCTGGAGTATTTCTTCCTCTTTTTTTTTTGTAACTATGAACACTTTAGACCCACTCCCGTCAGTACAAAAGATATGAATAAAGCAACATCTTGAAGAATTTTGCAAAATATCAGATAAATTTATCCATCAGTAAAAAATGAAGTCTTCCTGTTTAGAGGAAACTAAATTTCCACATGACTAATCAATACCAATACTGATATTAGAAATTTCAAGAACTTGAAAAACAGATTGAAAGAGAACTTCAGAACAACTACCTGTTTGAAAACATTAGATCAATGGAGCTTGATGACTCAATTCCACATATGCTAGATTGTCCTCATTTTAAGCCACGCCACTTGCTTTCTAGACAAAGATCGTCTATATTTCTAAGAATTTGCCAATATTTGGAAACAATTTTCAACTTTCATCAATCCCTTGCATTTTAATTTTCTAGTTGTGTGAATCTCTCTATCTTACTTCCGAAATACGATTATATGGTGTTAAATCACAAACAAGGGTCCATTTTCAATGAGGAAGTCAGATATCCTAAAAATATGAGCATATTGGAACTTGAAAATGAAAGTGTGTCACATACAGCAATGGAGCTAGTGCTAAATATTCAAAAAAAATTAGAATTACACAGAGGAAAACTAGCAAATTTGACATGCCACAGGAATATAAGATCAGACTATATTTTTAGTTCACTTAAGCACATTGGTTTCACTAGAGAAATGCAGTCTATCTGCGTAATATCTAGGCTTTCTAGCCATCGCTCGAGTATCATGTAATCATTGTTCAGGTCGACAGAGGACAAGGTGTTATGTAATTACTTATATCAAACATCAACTAAATTTTGCAACTATAAGATAAAAGGATGACCCACTTTTGTAATGAAAGTACTCAACTGGTATGATTTGACAAGCTCAAGAATCTCATATGGCATGGCATCCACCTCGCCATCATTTTCAACAGCCATAGATAAAAGCAAACATAACTGAAGTTTTCCTGTAACATGAAAAACAAAAAGACCCTACAGTCACCACATCACCGTCTTTAGGCCAACAGGAGAAGCCATCTATACTGGCATAAAAATTTAGTATTTGAAAAACCAAACACAGATGCAGAAGCTTATTACGCTTCCTTCAGTATAACAATGCAAACCCAGCAGCAAGCAATATAAGCTTATTATCTTTAATGGACTTCTTTAGAACATATCCCTCACTTAGCTAATTATCGAAAAGGATATAAGCATGACAAATTCAACCAAAGGAAACATATAATACAATACATATGATGCAGAATAGAGGAGAGTTTTGGGAGTTTTAGTGATAAGAAGCCTATAAACAATAAATAAGCTCAGAATGAGATAGTAAATGACCTCCATCAATGCACTTCTTTTGGACACGCTTCACATGCCGTAAATTTTCCAATGGTGCAATTTGATTTAACTTCCTGATTATAGTAAAATGCAAACTTTCCCTGAGGACTCTAAAAAATTAATAAACCAAAAAAAAAGGGGGGGGGGGGGGGGGGTAGGGGGGACATGAAATACAAACCTGACTAGAGTATTGGCATCTTTAGGTTCAATCACAGCAGCATGAACTTTCACTTAAAGAAGAAAGGGAAAAAAAGGAGGGGTTAGCGCATTAAGAAAATGGGAGCGTTACAATTTGCTGTAAGAAAAGAAAAAAAAGGAAATCGAAGAATGTGAAAAAACCAGTGGGTTGGAGGTGAGGCAAAAAGGGTGGCTTTTCAGGTATGTGTATGATTACACTCTCGGTATTTGCAACTGTATCTTCATCCTTATTCTTCATTCTTCTCGCTGTACCGCCGGTGGCTCTGTTCATAAAAATAGGTCTGGCTTTCGGCGCCGGCAATATCGTGACTGACGAAAAAAGAATTTCTCTTTCCTTTTTTCTTTTTCTCTACAACAACACGCTGTGAAATACTTGCGAATTACAGTAATAAATCTTTTACATAACAGGTTTCGGTTCAAATATGATGAAATTGAGTTGATTTATTGATTGACTGTTCATGAATAATAGGGTATAGGGTTTTTTATTTAGTTTGAGGGTCATTAGTTTTATTAGTGTCGAGTGAGGTTCCTTGTACGTTGTACCCAAATAAAAAGTGAAGGTTTCTGGGTTTACCTTTAAATTACTTTGGAGTTCAATGTACACAGTACAGTGTGACTTGTATTTAGACTAGAAACTCTTTTAAAAGAAAGTTCGTATATCGATTTTGTATAATGTATGGCCAGAATAGCACGGCGTGACCCAAAGCCGAAACTTAGATGCTGTACTTTTGGACAAAAAGAAGGTTTTTACATTGTAAAAAAAAAGATTCATTTTTACATAAAACGCAGTGCACTATTGCGTTCAACATTAACGGAAAGTTAGCTGTTAAAGCTAAACGCAGTAGTGTACTTCGATTCATTAAAAAATTAATTTTTTTAAAGGGAAACGCAGTAGTGTACTGCGATTCATCAATTCGCAGTATTATACTGCATTTCGCTATTAAATTTGGGCCCACCATAATAACAGTTCTGCAGGACTGCAGAGAATATTTATTTTTTAGTGTAAAACGTATTATAATACTACGCTTTACACCAATTTTTTGGCCCACCAATAAGTGTTCCGCGGATAACTGACATAACAATAATTCAAATAGATAAAACGTGGTATTGTACTGCATTTTATATATAAAAATTCTGGACCCCAAGCTCGGACTTGCCTTATTTAAAGGCGTTTGAATTTTATGAAAATCCATTCAAAACTTTCCTTCAAACTTCCGTTCATACTTCTCTCTTCTTCTTATCAATCATTTTTTTATAATGTCTGAAGAGCCAAAAATAAGGGTTTCATTATATTGGGGGGGGGGTGAAGTTGTGCTGGAGAATAACTCTGTGAGGTATAGCTCACCTCCACAGTGTCATGTTAAATTGCCGCTTACAATGGAGTACGATAAATTGGTATCGTTGTTACGTAAAAAAATGAGTGTGAGGAAACGTTCGGTGAACCTTAAAGTAACCGGTAGATTTCCGTATTCAGTGACTCCGCAGGGGTTTGCTTATTATTCTGAGTTTAACATCGAAGATGATGAAACTCTTAGAGATTTTTTGCGGATTCCGGATGAATACAGGGAATTTATTGTAATAAAATTATTGGAAATGTACGTCAAGGTTGAAGACGTTTCCAATAATGAGGGCGTGCATAGTAGGGATAACCCCCAGTCATCGGGTGGTTATTCTGGAGCAGTTTTTGCGGGACAGATTGCTGATGAAAGAGCTTGCCTTGATTTAAACTTGTCACCACCGGCGAATGAGCAGCCACGAAATAATTTTTCGACTTTATATAATCCACAAGACGACTGATAAACTTCAATTTTTCTACGCTTTAGCGATGTTTATTTTATGTTTTAATTGGATTTGTATTAACACTCATATTTTTCATAGGGGGTACCGTCCGGATATGAATTTTACAAGTTATGACCCCGCCCCTAGTTGGAATATGCGTAGTTCTGGCGTATTGGACCACGGTGGTCCATCCGGGAGTCATCACCAACAAGAAAACATCCATCATGAAACGTCAAGACAGTACGACTTGTAAGTAAAGTGATATAGCTATATGTAAGGTATTTATCTAGTTGGGTAGCTTATCATTTTGTTCTTTTTGTGCAGTGAAAACGAGCATCTTGATGCTCCTGACCTCACACAGTTGGCCATAGACGACGTATTGACTCGTGATTTGGCAGATGCGCAGAGTCAGGAAGATGATAGTGATTATGACAACAATGCGGATGAGTCTGGAGATGACACACCCTTCCATGATGAGGGTGATGATGAGGAGGAAGTGAATGTTGAACCTGAGCTGACGAGGGAGCATGTTCCTCCACCTCCCGCTAGACCAAGAGTGTACGAGTCCCACGTGCCATTTCATGAGCGGAATATTCCCTACCTTGATAATTTGCCAAGTATGCCGGACGTGGATGCCCTCACAAGGGATGATGACGAAATTCGGTCAGCGATGTGGGATGAGTCTAGACCAGCGGTGCTGACAAAGGGCATGTATTTCCCCGATAAAGCTCGCCTAATCAGGGCTGTAAAAATCTACAGCGTAAGAGAGTGTCGTGAGATGACGGTAAGCGAGTCAACTACGGAGGTATACAAGGCTGTATGCCGTAGATACTTTATGGGTTTTCACTGGATGTTGCGTGCCAGCAAGAAGAAATCAGGGTTGTGGAAAGTGGGTAAATTTATTAGCACCCACAGATGTGAAATGGACACATTCAATGAGAATCACTTCAATTTGGATGTAGACTTGATTTCTCTTGTCTTGATTCCATATTTGGAAGTGTCCTTTAGTTCAAGATTAAAGAGTGTATTACAGCCGTCCACCAGGAGTATGATTGTACTATAACCAAAAGAAAGGCATATCTCGGTCGCAAACGTGCCTCTAAACTTATTTATGGCGACTGGGATAAGTCTTTTTCATCTCTGCCTAGGTACATGGCTGCACTGCAACACTTTAACCCCGGGACTGTTGTTGAATGGAGGCGTGAGCGGAGTCTGGATAGACCCGAATATATTTTCAACTATGTGTTCTGGTCATTTAAACCAGCAATTGATGGTTTTGTGCATTATCGTCCTGTAATTTCCATAGACGGTACTCACGTCTATGGAAAGTATGATATTAAGCTTTTGATTGCAGTTGCAGTAGATGCCAACGGACTAATATTTCCACTAGTCTTTGCCATTTGTGCCAACGAAAGCGAAGAGACGTGGACGCTTTTTTTGAACCACTTGAAGCAGCACGTTGTTAAACAGCGTTCAGGTATTTGTCTAATATCTTATCGACATGGTGGTATTTTAAGTTCTGTGCGGCACTTGCCTGAATGGCAGGAACCCTATGCATACCACCGTTACTGTGTGAGGCACCTGAAGGCCAATTTCCAGAAGAAATATCCTGAAAAGGCCTTGCATGACTTAATGTGGATGGCCGCAACTGAGCACCAGCAGTGCAAATTCATGAGGCGCATGGAAGCGATCCGACGGATTGATCAACGAGCATATACTTGGCTGATGGGACATGAGCTTCACATGTGGACATTGCATGCTGATGGCGGCAGACGATGGGGAGCCCTGACTATAAATGTGTCGGAGTCATTCAACGGCTTGTTGAAGTCTGCCCGTGGATTGCCTATCACTGCCATGGTCCGCATGACATTCAAACAGAGTGCGGAGAGGTTAGTTCAAAGGCATGGAGCTGCGACATTGATGGACAGGGGTGTTCAATTTATGCCAATACCGATGAGAAGATTTGAAAGGTACAGGAGGCGAGCACATTGGCATTCATTTTTACTGTACGATCACGACCGGGGTGTTTTTGAAGTTAAGACCGCTATCCGCGGACACCGTGGGAATAACCTACAGACGGTGAATGAAGCCAGAAGGTTGTGTTCATGTGGGAAATGGACCATCTACCACATGCCGTGCGCACATGCCTTGAAGTGCTTTCAATAATTTGGTTTAGGGGCAACCAACTATATTGATAGGCAATACAGTGTTGCTGCATACGTAGACACGTATAGTGGGCAGTTGCAGCCATTAGGTGCTGAGCATTATTGGCCACCGGAACCTTTTAAGATGGTGTGTAACAAGGACTATTTGCGCAAGCTGCAAGTGCAAAAGAGAACGCGTATACGGAACCAAATGGATGTTGGTGACACCGTTTATGCTCGTAAATGTGGCATATGCTCGCAAACAGGACACGACCATCGTAAATGCCCTTCAGGTGGTGCGCGTGGCGGTGGTAATCCAGCTCCTGGTGCAAGTTCGTCGAATGTACCCAACTATCAAGGATACCCCTAGTCTTTTGTTTTCGTATTGTTTTTTTGTAATACGTGTCTGTCCTTGTGTATGTTGCAATATCTATCAAATAAAATTATGTTCCATAATCTTGTTACATCTTATTTTTTAACATGACCTTTTGATATGGTTGTTCAAATATTAAACATATTGGTGTTTGTAAAGAAGACCAAGATTGTGTAAAGAAGACCAAGATTGTGGACCAAAAAAAAATCACATATTAAAAAATAAATTTAATATGTAAAGCGTGGTATAATACTACATTTTTTGAGTTGTCTTGTCGTACTGAAAAAGCTGAAAACCATGTGAAAATGCTGTTTTGTTGCAGAAAAATTTAAAATGTAAAGCGCGGTATAATACTACATTTTTTGGAGTTGTCTTGTCGTACTGAAAAAGCTGAAAACCATGTGAAAATGCTATTTTGTTGCAGAAAAATTTAAAATGTAAAGCGCGGTATAATACTACGTTTTTTTGAGTTGTCTTGTCGTACTGAAAAAGCTGAAAACCATGTGAAAAAGCTGTTTTGTTGCAGAAAAAATTAAAATGTAAAGCGCGGTATAATACTATATTTTTTTGAGTTGTCTTGTCATTCTGAAAAAGCTGAAAACCATGTGAAAAAGCTGTTTCGTTTCAGAAAAACTTTAATATGTAAAGCGTGGTACAATACTACGTTTTATCAGTTGTCTTGTCGTTCTGAAAATAGCTGAAACGACTGCGAAAAAACTGTTGTTTCAGAAAAAACTTTAAATATCTAAAGCGTTGCTATAATATACGTTTTATGTGAAATCTTGCCTATAAATAACGGGCGTATTCCTAGTTATTTTTCTGCCTTAACAATAACCAACTAGAAATATTTCCATAAAACCGAAGTTTCTCTTTAAGAAATGTCCTCAACAACCCCTTTATGTCCCAAGGTGCTTATTGCGGAGAAAAATCAGTATGGTAAATTGGTGGGAAGCCAGGTGGCACGCCGCTATTGGGCGTGTATGAAAAATGTTTGATAGTCAACCCCGACGAGCAGTTAAATGTGATTTTGAGGTATGGATGGTTGAAACCATGTGAGCAGAAATACTACAAAGAGAGAATTTATTCTCTTCATAATTTATGTACAAGGCTCAATGGGAAAAGAGAGTGGCGAACAACCAAGGAAAATTGAGGAGTTGAAGGCGAAACTCAAGGAGGTGGACAGTAAAGAAAAAAAAAAGCTGGAAGACCAACTCAAGTGGTTTGGAGTAGAAGAATATAGGCGTCGTGACTAAACCAGTGGCTTTTGTAGTGTT